CCTAACCCCCACACACCCTTATCATACGCAAACCAGCAGTCTCATATGTACACACACCAGCACAAAACTCAACACACAGCATACACCAACACACCTAACTACACATACACAGGCTTTATCACACACACCCCGTCACAAAGAGAAGCTGTATCAGATACACAAAACCGCATCACATCATACACAAAACCACCAACAGAGGCTCTATCACATGCATGATCACAAACACACCCACAAACACGCACACACCACCATATTATAGAGCCACACACACACACTTGCACTTATAGAGCCACATTTTCAAAAGCATCCATTAAATCGGTGCTTGTAAATTTGCACACAGCCCTCCTGTGGGCAGGTGGCCTGGTGTACTCGTGCCAGCTGATGCCAGAGCTCCGCTTGCTCATGTGTGCAGGCAGCATGTGAGTGCTCACCTCAGGTTGGCAGATCTCAGGCAAACAACTCCCTGCCCCAAAACTGTACGTTCAAAATGACAGGTGCAAATTGAGAAGCTGGGCTGCAAATGAGGCTCCAAGCTCCATTGCAGCTAGTAACTCCAACAGCAGTTCAGGGCCCTGAGCCACAGTCATGTCATGGTCCATGTTACTAGCAGTGACTGTTTCCAAAAGGCCGATACAGTGTCTGACACGCTCCTGTTCTCTCTTAGCACTCGGCTGCTTTTGTGCAGGCAGAGAGGAGGTGTGTTGCAGTGGCTGAGGTGTGCTCAGTCACACACAACTCAATGCAGGGGGGTGTGGGTGCCAGTCACTCCCCAGGCATGGTAGCCTAAGTGCTGCTCTCTGCTGCCGAAGGGCCCGTGATGGAGGCTCAAACCCAGTCACCAATTTCCTTTCGGTACACAAGAGATATTTGGCAGAATCCAGGCCAAGGCCAACGAGCTCACCTTTCTCCACGATCTCTGGCTGTCCAACGTTCCACAACCCTCCCACTGCCAGTCCCTTCCGCAGAAACCAGGCACTGTCTGCAAAGTCAGGCTCCCAGGGCTCTCCGTCAATGAAGACCATGTAGGGGCTGGCGGACAGGTCACTGGAGATAGAAATGGCAAGATGGTGCCAGGACCCATCCAGGAGAAGGCCAGCGGTGCCCCTGAGCATCACAGCCCTGCAAAGGAGGGCAATGGGGTGAATGAAGGCTGAGCAGACTCCCAAACAAGGCATGTCCCTGACCCATAGCCCAGTCAGTCAGCTTCCCCTGTCCTCTTCCAAGCCTGGTTCCCACGCATGGCAGCATCTGTTAACTCTTTCTCTGCTGGGCCTTGGCCACATTTGCAGAAGGAAGAAATGTACGTGGAAAGTTCAGCAGTGAATCTATGGCCAACAGAGTTAAGGACAAGGAGAAAGAATTTTTAAATCAATCAGGAGCAACAGGGAACCTACCAACGGCACAGGTCTATTATGAGATAGATATGGCAACATTGTCAATAGTGATGCAGAAAGGCAAAAGCGTTCAATCAATACTTCTCCGGATGATGTATCAATATCAGACAATGATGATGAAATAGTTTTTTTTCCAATGGCAGTTAAGGATGACATTAAGCAGCTTCAATTAAAACCTTTAAAATCCGCAAGCTCAGGTAATTTGTACCCAAGAGTTGGCTTAGGAGCTCTCTGGGGCTTTGATGTTAATGTTTAATCAGGCTTGGAAAAACGTGGAACTTCCAGAAGATGAAGAGAGCTAGTGTTGTGCCTATATTTTACAAGGGTAGTTACAGGCCAGTCAGCCTGACACTGATCCCACACAGGGTCATGGAATGGCTGAGAGAGGGGAGAGGCCGTCACCCTGGCAAACCCTGAGCAGCCCTGCACATCCCATCCTGCAGAGGGCAGCAGGCACACACACACTCTTCCTAGCCCCGGCCAAGCAGTGCCGAGGGACCTCACTCACCCTTTGAGCCAAAACTCCAGGCCTGCTGGAGCCAAGAGGAAGAGTGCGAGCTCGGCCGGCCTCGATCTCACCAAGTAGCTGAGGAGGCCCATCTTGTTGGAGGAGGCAAAGGTGCTTCGGATCCACAGGCCCAGGGTGAAGCCGCTCAGGTAGCGGGTGACTGCGTTCTCCAGCCGCATGGCGCTCCTTGGAGCAGGCTTGCCGCTGGGGAGACGCATGGCAGATGAAGCCCGATACTCTAGTGAGGATGCAAAGAGAGCAGCCATTAAACCAGTGCTGACCCGTCACCCAGTACAAGGCCAATGGTGCCCCCCAGGGAGCCCAGTGCCAGGTGCAGCCTGCGGCCCTGCTGCCTGGACTCACACAGACCTAAATGCTTTGCTGCTCTCCCCCGGGAATAGTCAGAGATGGGCCTGAGCCCCAAACCTGCCCTATGCCTGGGGGATGAGGATCAGGGGTTTGAATCTGGGTGAACCAGGGCCCTGCTCCCTCTTTGGGACCACCTGCTCCTTCTTCCCAGAAGGCTGTGATGTGCCACTCCACGTGACCAGGGCTGGATTCGCAGCCCACTCCAACATCAGTGGGCAGTAGATGTCCTGCAGCCACTGGCTGTCACTCTCCAAGCACACCACGTCCAAGGCCTGAGCGTCACCCTGCTGCCACCCCTACCACCCACACTGCACCACTGCTGGGCACAGGCGAGAGGCCCATTTTGCTCGGTGTGCTCTACTCATCAGTGGTACCCTCAGGAGGACACTGGCTAGGGCAGAGGCTTCCCTTGTTTATTGTCGCTGGCTCCAGATCACATGGGCTCAGCCTACGTACAGCCAGGGTCATGGGCTTTAAGGTCATAAGGGATCACTAGATCTCCTGTGTATGACAGGCCACCAACACCACTCAGCCCCCACACACTGCACCCACAACCGAACTGAGACCAAAGGATTACAGCCCTGAGGAGACTACACTGTGATGTGCCACAAGCAGAGAATAGGGGAACTGAGGCGCACGAGGTCCCTGCAATGGCAGGGAAATAGCCTCTTTTCACTAGCAGTAAGGGATCAGCAGGCCAAACGGGTGTCATCGGTTACTGCGGCGCAAGCCCAGCGAGGCTGCATGGCTCCAATGGAGGACAGGACCTGGCTCCTCAGCTAGGACGCGGACTCGGACTCGCTTCACCATTCCATGCATGCCAGGAGCCAGGACAAAATCTAAAACCTCATTCCCCTCTCTAGTGAGCAGCGCCTGCGTGCAGGGTGCTGCCCAGGCGTGTGCTCGGAGAGCGACGGCCAGCGACTGCAGAACAGCTATTGCTCACTGCCGTTGGAGCGAGCTGCTAGCCCACCCTGGCCAGACAGAGCGCCTGCTCGCCCAGCTGCCCCTGGGGTGGGGGAGTTTGGACCCTGAGACACCTGGGTGTGGAAACTGGGACCCTGAGACCCGCAAGTGGGGACAGTTCTGCCCCTTGACACTCCTGGGGAGCTGGTGACTAAGAAGGGTCTGTTTCTACCATCCCTGTTCCAAGGAGATCTGCCGCAGAAGCCAGCCTCCCACCTCAGGCAGAATGAATGCAGCTCCACGGCCCTAGTATATCAGCTGGCTCCTCAACATTGAGCCTTTGCTGACTGCAGTGTAAAGGCAC